CAAATTTACCTTTTGAGATCTTTTGAGTGTACTAACAATAAGGTTTTCTATGCTACCAGACCAAAGCTATTTTCAAGTCAAACCCAGACTTCCTGAAGGGTTTCAACTTCATAGGTGCCCCCAGATTTCACCAAAGGCACGGCTGTTGTAGCAGGCACGCTCTTGGGTGAGTTTCCTACAAGCATTTCATAACCATCACCCTGAAGGATGCAGCTAAAAAGACTGTCTCTGTCTTTTATTTTCAGTATTTTATCTCTGTGTGCCACCAAATACTATGGACCATTTACAAAAGAGAAGAAAAAAAATGCTAATGCTTTAAAAATAGAAATATAGTGCTGTGAGTGTTGATATCAAGGTTTAGTACTTGATTTGTTTCTTGTTCTGTTTCTTGCCCATCTTTTTTTTTTTTTTTTTTTTTTTTTTCTTCTAATCAACTGCACAGCGATTTTGGCACTGGGAGACATGTGTACCCTCTCCATTGGTGCAGTGTGTTGTACCTCGGGTGCCATTCTGTCAATGACACATGGAGCAGAGTGGGACCAAGCTTCTCCCCTCTCGCTGTATTGTTTCTGTATTATTCTGCAGGAGTAAGACTATGCTTTTCCAAAGCATCTAAAAATGATCATTCAGATGGAGAGAGCAGATAGAGACAAGAGTAACAGTGTAGTTACATAGCAACTTGCATGATTGCAACTATGACTTAACGTGTAGCACACAACGTAATTTGAGAAGAAAATGAGGTGAGTTTGTGAAAGAAAACAGGAAGTATCCAACAAAAACACGTGAAGTGCACTTGCGAACATTCTGCCGAAAGCTTAACATCAGTGTTTTTCGGTCTTTTCACTTTCAATGCCCAGTATGAAATGCCTCCAAAATTTCATGAAATGCTGAGCCTTCACCATTATGTCACCAGTATTCCTGTAAAGTAGCTAGAGCTGATACAAGATCTCTAGTTGTTTTGTAAAATCTCAGCGCTCTGTCTTACACTGTGCTGCTGTTTCTGCAGTGTGTTTCAGGTACGTGGGCGGCTCCTGCCCACGCTGAACATCAGCGACATGGCCTTGTGTGGCCATACGTTCAGAATGATTAACCAGCACAGATGCAAGTGTCTAGTCCTTGACTTCAGTAGCTATGATTGTGGCTGGTGTGTCTCAGAAAACATATTTTCCTGCTAATGAGACAGGAATTATTTTACTGTGCAATGTATTTTGGAAGTGATTGTATTGAATGCTTTGTACCATTTCACCAGCTTTTTTGCCCGTTACCACTACTTAAATAATAGCATAAGTGAACGTTAATGCACGCTGGTCATCTAGGTCAACCTAGATTTCAAGGAATGATGAGAAAAATATTAAGAAACCAAAACTTTAACTGAAAAATCAACTTAAGTGAATTATTCCCTAGCTAATTTTACGGACTGAGGCTTTTTTGACTCTGTTCTGAGTAGTGAGAGCTGGAAATGCCCTCACAGCTGTAGCAGCCAAATCTGTTCTGGACCTACTCTGCCCTCCTGGGGAGGGTTGGCCAAGCCCTAAGGCAGCCCCCAGATGTCTGTCCCCAGGTGGGGTCTGTGGGACTCCTCTCCCCTCCATGCACAGCATCATGTCCCCTTATCTCTGACCAGCCCAGGAAAGCTCCTCCTGCTTCCCTGTGAGTCCAGCAACTGCCACGTGCAACTCAGGGCAAATTTTATCTGCAGCTGCTTTGGGTGTCAAAGTTTAGTTTGGGAAGAAGAAACCGATTATCTTTCCTTCTGACTTTTATGGCTTCTGCTTATCGCTGAGATAAAGTCAGCGGTGACATCACTTCAAATGCCGGCTCCTTAAATAACAATTTATATCCAGAAGATTAAGGTGGCCACAGAGGAACCTCTCAGCTCTTGGTTTTATGCCCATTATGGAGAGGGAGCAGAAGCACAGTGGAGTAAAATGTCTCCCTACAATTATGCTTGGTGCCTGTGACAAAGCCTGATCATGTTTGGGTGTTGTTTGTTTTGTTTTGTTTTGGTGGTGGTTTTGGTGGTTTTTTTGGTTTTTTTTTTTCCCTCAGCCTCACAGACCTCTTTCTGCTCCACACCTCTGGAGCTTCTTAATCACGCCGGCGTATAGACCCAATCTTTCTTTTTTTGGATGTGGCATGCTTTTGCCCCTTGTTGCTCTGTGCCTGCTGCCTAGCTTAGTGGGTGGATGGCAGGCAGGTGAGGATCAAGTGCACAGGTCCAGGCTCCCAACTGACCATCACTGTGACTGTGCCACTCCATCAAACCACCTAACACCGGTCCTGAGTGGTGCCAGCCTGGCCTTGCCCAGTGGTCATGTGCTGCCTGGATGTGTTTGGGCACCCCCAGCCAGCCCCATGGCAAGCAGCATGGGGTCCTGACTCCCTTCTGTCAGTGTCCCCACCCTGTGCTCGCTGTCCGAGGGGACAATTTGACCTGCTGCCCAAGAGAAACATCAGTCCACTACAGCAATACCTCTTGGAGTAGGCTTGGTGGTTACTTTTTCTTATGGTTGATCCTATGAAAGATGATGTTTGTTTAAAAAAACTTAAAAAGGAAAGAAAAAAGAAAAAGAAATAGGAGGGAATAGTGGTGTGAGCAGCAGCTGCAGGGAGATGTGTCTGTGTCTAAGCTCAAGAGGCTCCATCCCACTGGCCTCCCCCCACGGAGGTGCAGCACTCTCAGCTATGTGGTGGGTCTGTGCAAATAGAGGGAGCGAACCTGAAACCATGACTGCAATAGTACAAAGTGAATTTAAGTGCCGTCATCTTCGCATATACGTTCTCTGTCCCCTTTTCAGTCATTAGGGAGCAAAGCAAATTAATGCCAACAGAGGCTGACTCAAACCTTTGCCCTCATTTAAGGGATTCCAAAAAACGCGGTTTTGTTACGTGCTGGAGCCAGTTGCCCTACAGCAGCTCAAGGACTAGAGCAGTCTCCGGTGTTTAACCAACATGAAAGGCAGAGTGTTGCTAAAATTGCCGATGACCAGTGCTGATCCAATGTATTTCTACTTGACTAGGACTAAATTTATTGCCTTTATGTTTTTTTAGCAGACTGATTTTTTTTTTTACCTCTCTTTCCAAGATAAAATGTAAAGAAATAAAAAAAACCCCTCAGCATAGTGGTAATATAAAAAACTGTCCAAGCAAGACAACCAAAAAGCAGTCAAGGATAAAATAAAATTAAAACATTCTACTTGTCTGTTTTGAGTAAGGTACATGAATTGCTAACTTAGCTTATTTAGTTTTGGAGTAGAAACCTCCCAGATGTATGCAGGTTTTGATGTTAAAACAAGAGCTATATTTGTGTAAGAGTGAAATCATATTTAGGATAACTATGTCCAGAGTTTTTCTATTAAGAGATGGGTCAAAATGGGAATAAGATGGTGGTTTCCAGAACACAAAATGGTAGGTGAGCCCCTAGGAGACAGCATGTGCAAGCCAGGCCTGCTCTGTCACCATCAGGGAATGGTACTGATAACGCCTTCAATAAGCTTGTGGCTTTGTATCTTGTTTTTCTTTGTCATTCTGGAATTTAACATTATGTGATATGGCCTTTATGCTAACATAGACTTTTTGGAAAAAATATAACCATGTCTCAAGTATGATTTTTTTTTTTTTCAAAAGAATTGGCCAAATTCCATGCTCCTCCATTAGTAAACTTGCAGACTGACAAGACTGGAGCTGTGCCCTTCTGAGGAGTACGTGTTTGTTTATGATCTGAACATAAAATCAAAATTTGTTCAGGCACTGCCTATGTAAATTATCTTCTCTGTTCCTAATGCCACATGATGTTACCACTGACATCAGCCTGATAGATAGACTTACAGGATGCCAGAATTCCCTACTGGATTGAAAAAAAAAGAAAACAGGGGAGGAAAGCATAAAGTCAAGAATCTTGTGATGAAAGTGTAAATAGTCAATGTAAATAATCACTGGAGCAGGTTCTAGGGCCTGGGCATACAGGTCCCATCTGGTCAATAGGGGCTGTGCTTGTGGCTTTGTGATATGGCTTGGATTTCAGTTGCAGAATTATGTAGAATTTGTATTTGATTCCAACATAATTTAGATAAAAGGGTTAGAGATTGTTCAGTGCATGGAATAAATACTTTTCATTAGGAAATAAAGACCCATGATTTAGATTTGCTTGGTGTCAAGGTGATAGAGTAGGCAGGTAAAGATGATCAACTTTTGCAATGAAAAAGAAGAATTTCTGCAGTTACTTTCAAATGCCCGGTCTGACATTAGTAAAACTGCTACTGATTTCAGTAACAGCAGAATTTTTTCACTGATTTTTCACAGAATTTTTTTACTGATTTCAGTAACAGCAGTACTCTTTTGTACCCTGCCTGTTGTCAGCTGATCTCTTAGTTATTTTTAAGAATGTAAGAATCACATGACATTTTTATAATTCTTAACAGGCAGAAGGTTATAGATACATCATTTGCAAGTGCTGAGCACCTGGCTCTGGCAGTTTTCACATCAGCAAGCCTTAAATGCAGTTATTTATGACTACCACATTACAGAACATGGTTGCACATTATAATAGTATTTTTTTAATCCTGAACTCTGAAAAAACTTATCACTTGGTTCTGAATATGGCTAACAAATTAGTATGTTAAGATAATGTAAGTCAGGCAATTTTCCCTTCATAGGACAGTTCTTTACTATGATCTGTTACAGCATACATTTCAAAAACAACCTCTATGTTTACAGAGACAATTTTGCACATGCAAGTTGTGAATGTACAAAATTTCAAATATGAATGCTTAGCAGCTAGTGATATTTAAACCTCTATTAAAATTTCACATGAGCTTACTGTTACCTGTTCAGGAAGAAACTACAAACAGAAATCCCATATTTAGGTTAAATTTTAGGGAAAATTTCTACCTTATGAATTGCTTTATAGAAAGCAGTAAGGTTTTTTTCACCAGTGCAGAGGTCTGTTTTAATACTTAATGTCACAGTGGACCTAGTTTTCTGATGGCTTTGCTTTCCAGTTGGTTTGTTTTAGCAATCACAACTTATTTTTGTTCTTTTTCAGTTGAAGAGGGTGAATCTTCAGATTTTGCTTTGACCTGGGACTCATCTGTGACTCAATCAGGTAAATATTTTAGGTTCTTCTGATTGCAAAAACTGCCAGAAAGCTGCCAGGCTTTTTACAGGAACTGTATTTTGTATGTCACATTCCTGTCTCAAATCCAAGACTACCCACTGCAACACAATTTTTATATCAGTTCCATATGGTCAATAAAATCTATTACATACAGAGACTAATATACTCTTATCCTCCAGAGAGCCATTCTTTCTTCTTGTGGGCATACTGAAACGGGTTGTGATTTCTCCAGTATAACCACTTTGAAGTTTTCTGCAATGGGCACTGTTGCACATTCATTCCAATCTAATTACATAAAAGCTGCTTTAATAGGAATTTTAAACCTCAGTCTCAACTGGAATGTGTGTATTTCTCCTCTCGGAGGAAATTGGAAAGTACTGTCAGGGCTGGAGAAAAAAAGTGGTACATTGCCATGGTAGAAAGATTTAACGTTTGAACCAGCTTTTGGTCTGCTTGATAGTAATAGCACTTAAACATGTGTCTGGGGCTTGTTTATCTGTTTTATTATTGATAATTTGAATAAAAAGAGGCTCAAGAAACTGAACAGGATAAAGCACGTTAGTCTGTAGTTGTGCAATATGCATTGATAACACAAACATGAGGGTAAATGTCAGATTAGTTTGCGTTTAAATTAACTGGCCACATCTCAGTCGCTGTTTGAGCCCTGTGTAAAGCTATTTTACTATTATGTATTTAACATTTATATAATCCTCAGAATATTTTTTGAAGCCAATAAGTCTATTTCTACGCTCTCTTCGTGCTGGACTGTGCGATGGTATTCTCTTAGAAGCTCAGCAGAGATGTGAAAACAGCTCAGAAACTGAGCAGTAATGTGAAAATTAACAATGGTGCTGCATTCCTGGTTAGCATGGGTTTTATAAGAGTCACGGGGAGACTGGCTCACAGGAGACTTTTCTTACTGGTCAGCATCTAGCTGGTCTTGAAGGCATAAACTGCCTTTGTGCGGCACTTTGTGGCATTTCACTTTGTACCAACTGCGCTCTCAGTTGCGCTGGGTGCACCTTCTCTGGGCACTACGGCTGTTTTGAATGGTTTGTGTTTTCACTGGCCTTTGATAGCAAATATTGCTGCTGCTGCTGCAAGCCCCCAGCTGCGATGTCGAAGGCCCCTTTGTGCCTGGAGCTAACGGCGCATGAAAAGAGCGCTCGCCGGCTCTCTTGCTTGACCTTCGTCTCAAACAGCAGTGGAGTGGAGTTACCGGTGTTATCTATCACAAGTCTTGAATTGTATTAAATTTAACGCAGGCTGAGATTCAAAACAGCAACAACAACAACAAAAATTCTGTGCAGAGCAGGAGTTAATTTGGGATTTCTGGATGGTATTGGTTACTACGCTGTAAGTAAAAGGCAGCCTGTGAAAGACTTTCCCCAAATTAGTTGAGCCTCCTCCATTTTTCTTCATTTACTCCCATAATTATAGCTCTCATTCAAGACATTGGATGTGGGATAAAATGTATTGTATGCATGATTTATGGCAGCTTAAGGAAAACGTGTACTAATAGGGGGATTTTCCTCTTAATATGTTTAGTAGCTACAGATGTTAATCTCGCATGTGTATAAGGATGCAATACAGTATCCTATCAAGACAGGGTGCAGTGCATGGGACAGAGGTTGCAGGCTGGAATATGGCTGAGGAACCACATAGAAAAAGCTTAAAAAGCCCTAGTACATGGTGGTGTGGCTGCGTGGAGTCACAGGCTCTTGTGTGGTGTGCCTCCAAAGCTATATTCAGTAACTGAAACCAGTCCCTCAGTCCCAGTGTGCAAGACTTTCATTATGTTCTTTTATGATCTTCCTGTTTGCATTAGCTCCAGTAGTGTGATGTTGAAGTTCAATAAAGGGTGAAAAAACACGCTACAACTTCTTGTGCCATGCCTCTTCCTTCCCTGGCCCAAAATGACAAAATTACCTCCCCTTCACTGACACCCCCCCCCCCCCCAA